GGGACGGGGGGGGGGGGGACCCGAGCCGGGAGGAGCGCTGTCCCTCCTCTCCCCACGTGCTGCAGAGTCGTCTTTTGGGGACGGGTGCGACGCTCGGTTTCGCGAAGGGACAGTTGCCCTTTTTTTTTTTTTTAAAGTATTTTTGATCTTAATTTCATTCATCGCTAATTGTTCAGAACTGTTTCAGGTGAATGAAATAAGAACCGGCAATGAGCGGCGGAAGGTGAATGGCGTGAGACCCGGTAGCGCTTGTTGCAGCGTGCTCCCGCCGCCTCCGCTGCTGGCGTCCCCGAGAACGCTCTCGGGGGAGGCGCGGGTTCCTTGGCTTCTTGCACAAACTCCGCTCTTGCCCTTGCAGGGGAAAGACTAAATGCACACACCCCACCCCCATTTCTGTATGTCCTTCGACCAAAGCCATCTGTGGAACTGAGGTTAAAAATGAAGTCCGTAACTTTTAGTGAATATTTGTTACATCTTTACAGAAGGTTGGTTTTTTTTAATTGCAGAACGAGTAGTAGAGAAAAAATAAAGAAGTAAAATCGGTAGTCAGTTTCATCACACAGTGCCAAAAAGTCAAATGGAGACTAAATCTAACCTTGGCACTAAATACTGCAGGGGAAACTGCAAGATAAATGCTAAAACAGAAATTATTTTGTTGAGTTTCTTTATCTTTCAGTGTCAGATTCTGTTTATTCCCTTGTTCTGTGTTTAGAAAAAATACAAAAAGAAATACAGAATTTGTTTTCTATACACATATATACACAAATGAAATGTTAAAATATTACTGGTTAGGAGCAGCATGGATAGAAAATACTAATGTATTAAAGGTCATAATTCTGAGACTATAAGGATTGTTTTGATTATCTGGTTCACTTGCTGATTTTATTCCTACCAAAATTACTAGCTTGGATGCTGCTGTTACTGCAGAGGGTTTGCTCGATTGTTTTGCATGGATATTAACTCATTGGTAACTGGAAAGTGTCACCAACCTTTTTTTTTTAACTACTCAATAGTAGTATTAGCAGGGTTTACATGAGCTGGAGCGGTCTCTTTAATGTAGCCCACTCTGTCAACCTCATGAATTATTCAGCTGGCCTTTCCAAAGTTTCTGACTCTAGGGCATGTTAAATGGCCGGAAACTTTAAATAAACTTACTTGCCTTAACAAAGCAGATACTCAGAGCTCTGCTTTTCCTTCTAACAGCTAATGATTCAAATAATGTTTCCATTTTGATACTCTTGTTACAGATATTGCAATCATTGAAGTTTTTGTGTAATTGCCTCATTTTGTTTATTCTGACAGCTCAATTGCTTTTTTGTGTAGCTTTGCAGTTTTGGATTACTAAGTGGTCTAAATATGGTGTTTTGATGTCTGTAGCATAGATTTGTTAGTAATTACATTTTAAAAGATGGCAATATCTGCATTTAAATTACTGTTTAATTTGCTGTAGTATAATGAATATAACTGCTGTATTTTGAAAGTACAGCACATTCTCAGTAATCTTCAGTAATACAGTAGGCTATAGATTCAAATCTGACTTTCAAAATAAGCATGCATTAGGCTTTCATTTCCTTTGTAACAGCATGGGTGGTTTTCAGAAGAGTATCCAGAGTGGAAGTTACATCCAGATGTAACTAACTTCACTACAGTTTTGCCTTCTGTTTTCTTTGGGGTCTGATTCAAGTAACGCGCTTTGTCCTTTTCTTATTTTTATTTATAGAAGGTTGTTAGAGATGATCTGATAGTTGAAAGAAAAAGTGTTTCTCAGGGGGAAAGAGAATGCATTTTGTTGTGATGTATTTCAGGTAATCCTGATAAATTCTCATGTGATACTGTTGGGTTTTAATTTTGATTTTCAGTGAGAGGAATTGCATTGTATTTTTCTGTTGGAAAAGAGCTTTACTTTGTTATTTCTATTTAGAAACAACTGGACAGCCACTATGTTTATAAAAATGGGGAGAAGGTTTTTGTTTTGACGAGTATGTTCTTGGTTGCTAAATGGAATGTTAGGACTAACTATTTTTGTGCTTCAGGCTGAAAGTAGCTTCAGTGAAGAGGAGGAAGAAAAACTTCAAATAGCTTTTTCATTGGAAAAGCAGGATCTTCATCTAGTTCTTGAAACCATATCATTCATTTTGGAACAGGTACCTTGTTTCTATCCTTATGAATTGATAAATATATATTTTTGTCCGATTGTAGATTTCAAAAATATAAAAGTCACGTTAAAAAAGGAATTAGTGAAAAGATGTGTCTGCAGTATATTATGTATGTTTTGGAGGCGTGATTTTATTGCTTTCGTTTGCATGCCTTCCTCATTTGGATTGGACTTCTTGCATTTGTGGAATGAGTTTCCAGCCTCTGTAAATATAGGTGGTAGAGGTGAGCTCTGCGTGACTCCAAGAGGTGTTGATAATTATGAGATGTAATCTTTCCTCTTATTCATCGTAAGCAAGCCAGCCATGCATTTTTTAAATTCCTGTAAGGAAAATATTGGATGGCATTATTGAGCACTGCTTAAGTTATATGAAGTGTCAGTTATAGAAAATTTTCATGGACAGGAGCAGTCTGTACTTGGGTGAGTGGGCGCACCCGATGTAGCTCTAGTATCTGAATGAGTAGGTGACTGCATGGTGTAGAGCTAAATATCTTGCAAACAGGGAAGGTTTTCTGGTCCTACAGTCTACCACTACTGAGGCTGGGAAGCCGACGTATTACCTGGTAAATATGGTAACTTTATTAGAAATTCTCACAGCCGCAATGTTATCGATCCATTTCGTGCAAGTATAGTAAGTGTAGTCTGTGCAGAGGGCATGCATACTGATGGTCTGTTGCGGGATTTGATTCTTGTCCTCTTACACATGTCGGTTTACAATTAGTTCACTTAGCGCATTCCACAGCATTACAAAGAAAACAAACAAACAGTCCTCCCCATGGCTCCTATCCACCGAAAAATCAAAATGAAACCTGAGGTCACATGCAGACTGGAATTTTGAATTTTCATCTCAACCAAACAGCAAACTTACATGTTTTATTGCCTGGTCCTAATTTCATCAGACTGCTTCATTTATATAGTAATTATTGAAGATCAGCAGAAAAAGCAGTTCAGTCTCCTCTAGGACTTACTTCTTTTGCATTTAAAAAAAAAAAGAAAGGGAAGGATATTAATATCTGCCCAAAGAAGAGTCCCAGATGGAAGATGTGTTGTATGAGGATTCTTTTGTATTCCCGCTGATAGCTACGCTTCTTAGAGCAGCTGCTTGTTTTGTCAGAGCATAACTTTTTTACCAGCCATTTGGTCTGTGGACATATTATAGATAATAAGACTGCTGCATGGTCTTTGCCGCATGTGGTGTTTCTTTTTTCTTTTTTTTCCCCGCCCTGGTGCTGATGGAGTCCTGTTTTGGAAGTGGAGCTCAGCATACTATATAGAGTGTTTACCACAAAAATTGATGCTAGTAGGGAAGTTGTATCTAACTCACCTCTTTTGGCAAGCTGTTCCTGTCTTTTCAGGATATTACCTTGTAGTTCAGGCTTGCTTGAACAGTGTGAATTTGGAAAAGTTGTCCTTTCTTCACGGTCACAATTGACTTCAAAGCCCAGTTTTTTTTCAGTGGTAGCTGCTTTGGCATTACGTACAGTGGGAACATATACATATACTCAGGTCTAGCTCGTATATGCATTTTTTTCATAGTTTGTCTGTCTTGAGTAGAGTCATTTGTAATATTGCATTTTGAGATACAATTGAGATAGTTACACTTTTCTATCTTCTCAGTCAGAGGGTTAAGATGAACAGGATACTTGCAGTCCCACAGTAGAGTTGCTAGTAAAAATCTTGTGTGAACATGGTGGCCATCTGTGGTAGAATGTATCTGGAACAACTTGTAGAGCAGTACTCGACAGCAGCGGTTATTTTTCCTTTTAACAGGCAGTCTATCATAATTTGAAGCCTGCTTCATTGCAACAACAGCTGCAAAGCATTCACCTGGATCAAGACAAAGCTGAAGCATTTGCCAGTGCGTGGGCGGCTGCAGGTCAAGATGCGATTGAAAAGTTCAGGCAGAGGGTTTTGACCCCTCAGAAGGTAATGTTTTTTTCTAAGAGAGAATAAAGCTGTGTAGGTTTGTTTTAAAGCAAGGAGTTTAAACTAAGATACAAACTTTGTGACAAGCCGAGGTACTGGAAAGTAGAAAGGGTACTTATTAAGTAGTAGATAAATGTGATCGGGTCAGTGGAGTTCCATTGTCTTAAAGAGATGTTACATGTTAGCTGGGCTGCTGTAACTGTTGGAACCTGACTATGTGTGCCCTGTTAGCAATGTAAAGTAATACAACCATCTGGAAATGTTTGTGAACATGCTTTACAATAGGGTAAGGGTAAAATGTGCTCATGAACACTTGTAGTGGTTTAGCTCACGGGCTTAGCTCATCAGCCTGTTGATTGTCTGTACTTAAGTATATCTAAGCTCCTGCCATGTTTAATTTTGTATGCTGGTTGGATGGTGCATTTTGTGAGATACTTACTATGATTTTGAGATACTTTTCTACCGTGGCATAATAATCTTGCTTCATATGTGCCTGTTACCAGTTAAAGCTTTGGTACGTGCTGTGGAAGTCTCATTGTGTCTTTAGACATAAATGCCTACATCTATGAGAAGGTATAGTAACATCCCTCTGTTGGTTCATAATAAGCCTTCAGCTGCATTAGAGGGAGTGTACAGAGCACATCAGTGTCAGCCAGGATCAAATGGTTCAAAAGAATTGTGGAACACTGACTCAATTATTCTTGCTTTATTTTTATCATTGCTATATATCTTGTTGGGATAAGATTCAGTTTGTTACTTTATGATTTGGTTAGTAAAAAATACATAGAAAATAAATTTTATATTTAAGGTACACATGATACACTCACAGAAATAGAACAGCATAATTTATACCAGCAGGTTTACACCTAAATAAACCTAGAATTTTATTTAGGTGTAAAATGCACATTTTGAGAAGACAAGATATGTCTGTGGAACAGGCTGAAGATATTCAGAACTGCATCACAGATGATTTTTCCAAAGTATTTAAACTTGATCCGTTGTAAAACTGGGTAATTTTAGACACAAAACTTGTAGAATTTTCATGTGCAAAATTACAGTAACTCATGAACCTAACCCAAGTAAACGACTGATAATATAAGTATGCAATGTAGGCAAGTATGACTGTCTGTTGAAGGAGGTGAGTAATTTGAAAACCAAGTGAAATCACGGAAGGTTATAAGGCTAACTTTCAGAATACAGCATATGTGTGCAGAATGGAAGGCAATTCTGAAGATATCCTACAAAGCAGCTGTCTGACAATTTTATTCCGACAGGCTATGCACTAATACATATTTTACTGCTGGGTCTTTAGCATATGAGAAACTAATAAAACCACCTTTGATCCTCTTTTATTTGGAGCTTGTACCATACACACCTGTGGTTCTTCTGTGGCCTAGTTTGGGGATGACATTGCTCTGTTTCTTGTCTGCAGTTTTGTGAACCCTGCAACATACAATGCTTCTGCTGTACGTTACAATTTTGGAGATTCTTTGTAACTTCACTACGATCTCATATAATGGAATGGCATTTTGCTAGTATATTACATACCATATAAAGCAGTTTTAAACTGATTTGTAATTAAGCTTGCAGGAAAGCAACTGCCAAATTATCATAGTGCAACTTGTTTTTTAGCATGAAAGCAGGTTTAAATATAGGTGTGTGCTTCTACATATGCTTAAAGCATGATTTCACCCCCTTTTTTCTTTCCTTTTCCTAGCCTAGATAACAAGTGGAGTATCAATTTGAGTGTGAGTGTAGACTCTAAGGTGTAATTTGAGTTTGAACTTGAATATACTTTCTCAGTTTGTTTTGAAAACATCTTAATCCTGTTGAATTTAGTTGAGTGAAAAACTCAAAGTTCAAGAGAACTTTCCCTTAATCCAAAGCCTCAATTCACAGAACTAACTGCTAAATAAAGTATTTATTCTACTAACAAGGCACACAGAGGTAAAATATTTTAAAAATTGCATGGGATAATGGAAGAAGAACTTGCCATCTCCGTATAATCTCATGAATCTCCTTATAATGTCTTATGAGTGCAGTAGCTGACTGCATGATCCCTTCATTATTTCCTTCTATATTCTGTAAGTAATTGTGTATCAGCACATATTTGCTGTATTACCTTTCTATACCTTGAGAAATAGTGGGCATTCTCTAAACTTGTAATACATTGTTATAGTAGCCAGCTTGCTGTAAACTTTCATCAACATCTTGAATTAAAGTTAAAAAGAGTTAGAATCTTGAAAAAATACTTAGACCAGAGTGCTAGTCTTTTAGATTAGATTTACAATTTAGGTTTTTAGATTGATTTAGAGATTGTATTAACTTCTTTCTTTGTAAAAAGAGATGTGTATCCAATTGTTATTGCTCTCTGCAACAGGTATATACGGTTGTAACTTTTAAAACAATTGACCCTAAAATGTGCCCTCTGTATAGGTACTTCTTCACATGGCCATGTATAAGTTAATTATTTGTGCTGTACACCTCTCTCACAGAAGCAATATTAGGTACATAAAAAGAATGTGACTGTTCTGTTGTCATAATTGTCAGCAACAGAATCACAGAATGGTTGAGGTTGGAAAGGACCTCTGGAGGTCATGTGGTCCAGCCTCTCTGCTCAAGCAGGGCCACCTAAAGTCAGTTGCCCAGGGCTGTGTCCAGACAGTGTTTGAACATCTCAAAGGATGGAGACTCCACCACCTTCCTGGGCAACCTGGTGCCAGTGGTTGATCACCATCAAAGTGCAAAAGTGTTTTTCTGTGTTCAGGCAGAGCCTCCTGTGTTTCAGTTTGTGCCCATTGCGTCTTGTCCTGTCACTGGACACCACTGAAAAGAGCCTGGCTCCATCCTTCTTACACCCTCCCTTCAGGTATTTATATGCATTGATGAGATCCCCCTGAGACCTCTCTCCTCCAGGCTGAACAGTCCCAGCTCTCTCAGCCTTTCCTCATATGTGAGGTGCTCCAGTCCCTTCATCTTGGTGGCCCTTTGTTGGACTCTCTCCAGTATGTCCATGTCTCTCTTGTACTAGAGAGCCCAGAACTGGTAATAGTACTCCAGATGCGGCCTCATTATTGCTGTGTAGAAGGGAAGGATCACCTCCCTCAGCCTGCTGACAATACTCCTCCTAATGCAGCCCTAGATACCATTCCTCTTCTTTGCTGTAAGGGCACATTGTTGGCTCATGCTCAACTTTGCGTCCAGCAGGACTCCCAGGTCCTTTTTCACAAAGCTGCTTTCTAGCTGGGTGGCCCCCAGCACATACTGATGGCTGCGACTGTTCTTCCCCAGGTGCAGGACTTTGCGCCTCCCCCTGTTGAACTTCAGGACGTTCTTGTCAGACCATTTCTCCAGCCTGTACAGGTCCCTCTGAATGGCAGCATAACTCTCTGGTGAATCAGTAACTTCTCCCATTTTTGTGTCATCTGCAAACCTGCTGAGGGTACACTCTGTCACATCATCCAGATCATTAATGAAGATGTTTAATAGGAGTGGACCCAGTATTTGCTCCTGGGGTACACTGCTAGTTCCTGGCCTCCGACTAGGCTTTGTTCCTCTGATCACCACCCTCTGGGCCTGGCCATTCAGCCAGTTTTCAATCCACCTCTCTGTCTGCATCATCAGCATACATCAACAGCTTGTCTATGAGGATCTTACGGGACACAGTGTCAAAGGCCTCCCCGAAGTCAAGGTAGAGCCTATCCACTGCTCTCAGCTTGTCTACCAAGCCAGTCATTTCATTGTAGAAGTTTATTAAGTTGGTCAGGCATGACTTCCCCATTGTGAATCCATGCTGACTACTTTAAGTCACCTTGTTCTTCACGCGCTTGGAAGTGGTTTCCAGGATTAGTTGTTCCATCACCTTCCCAGGGACTGAGGTGAGGCCTTTAGTTCCCTGGGTCCTCATTGGTGAAGATAGGAGTGACATCTGCTTTCCTTAGGAATTTTGAGGATTGGTGTTTGGTGGGGGAGGTGTTGGATTTTTTTTTGTTTGTTTGGATGGTTGTTTTTTTTTTTAAGACTCTTTGTTTATTCATGCTCCGTGTATGGTTGAAGTTGCATTTGTAATGATGCTTTTTTTTGTCAAGTGTACCTTTTAGTTTTATTAGTGATTCAGATTCCAGAAATACAGGAGTTACTGTACTGGATCAGAAGATCTGTTCATTGTGTATCCTGTCTTTGGCACCTTAGATGGAAGCGTAGGGGTGGAATCTTCTAGTTAGCCTGTTTGATGAAAACTTCTGCCTCACCGCATGACTTAGAAGCTGTCTTATACACTCAGAGATGATTGTTTATAACTTGTGAAATATCCTACTTAATAAACCTGGAGGTTTCAGTCTGTGTACTTGCCTGATTTCTGATTTGCTACCACTTGGGGGAAAAGTGATATGTATTGATGTTTTTTAAAAACAGTATATCCATTATCTTTTGATTTTAACATATATCCCCTTTTTTATTATGAGAAATATGGAAGAAGAGTGTGGTCTTTCTTGTTTTCATTTTAAGCTGTGTAGTCTGTGATTTCCCACTCTCATTTTGTGGAAGTTTCCTGTTTGTCATCCTTCATGTTACCCGTCTCTGAGATATTTCTGCTATATTTTGGAATAAACTAAAGAGAGTAGAGAATGATATGAGCTTACCTGGAATAGTAATACTTTATGTGGTTGCTTTATAATAAAGGTCCCCCTCAGGGGTCTGGACTGGGACAACAGTATTTAATGTCTTCATCAATGACATAGTGGGATCAAGTGCACCCTCAGCAAGTTTGTGGATGACACCAAGCTGAGTGGTGCAGCTGATTTGCTGGAGGGAAGGGACGCCATCCAGAGGGACCTTGACAACCTTGGGGAGTGGGCCCATGTGAACCTCATGAAGTTCAACAAGGCCAAGTGCAAGGTCCTGCACCTGGGTCGGGGCAATCCCTGGTATCAGTACAGCCTTGGGGATAAATGGATTGAGAGCAGCCCTGCCAAGGAGGACTTGGGGCTACTGGTGGATGA